AGTCTGGCCGCATCTTACCCGCTGATTCGCCCTATTCTCTATCCAATAGTTAGAAATATTCCTTTCTTAATTTACCAAACTCTTTGTTTCTTGTGTTTTTTTTCTATTTTTATTGACTCTGTTGCCCCTTACGCTCCATGGATCAAGCTATTTTGGGTTTCTGGACCCACATTGCCAACCAATGAATCCCTCGAAGTGAAAAGTCAAAGAACATAAAATTAATGAAGGATTCTACGAAGCCCAGCTTTTTTCATATAAAAATGAGCAGTGTTGAGATTTCCGGTTACTATATATTATAATAACTCATGATAGATTAATTAAAAGGTTTATAGCTATACCGAATTACATTTACTGTCCGCAAAGAGGACCTTCTCTTCTTTTATAAGGATTCTTAATAAAATAGAAGTAAAAATAACTGGAATAAAATTATAAAGAAATTCGTATTATTGCGTAAGCCGCAATCGAGAAATATCTAGTTTTATTTCACACCTGACGGTATCCCACAGCCTAAAGCACATGAGTTTGGGCAGATGTGATATGAAAATCTGCCAACAGTCGGGTTCAATCGGAATGTCGGAGATGGCTAGGTGTGTTGATAAGGAGGATGTCCCCTGGCGAAATTGTGAAGAGCGTCAAGCTCATTTGAGGGATGCGTCTGGCCTAACTGAAAGACAGGATTGTCGTAGTTAAGTTGGTGCGAGTATTGATGCTCTCGAGGAAAGGTAGATTCTAACGAGCTGTTGCGTCGTCGTCCAAGCCGGCTAAGTTGAGCTCCGGAATGGTTCATCTCCTGTGGATGGTAGAGCATATGAAGTGGCATTTGGTCGTGCTCGACTTTTGAGGCGAATCGAAAAGTGGGTCTCACCATGTTTGGCAGAATGGCACACACAAGACCCAGCCCGGCGGCCACCCAGCTCAAGTAGAAGCAAATGCCGAACTCAAGTGTAGCCACGGATTTAACTGGCTGTACTCAAAATGAAGAGGATTGCGTTAATTAAGATTTATGCACACATCTGGATTAGTTAGGATAAAATTCGAGATCTAGCAAGTCCAGCAAGATAACTCGCTATACATTCTCCATAATATATAAAAAAGCATGCAATTAAAACGAAAATAAAAGGATTTTTATAAATTTCTGTATTAACGCTAGTTGGTTTGAGGTGATGGAGGACTGGTAGTTTCATTTTCACATAATGATATGAGTAGGCCGTATGTTTACAGTGAATTTCGAATCTTCTTGCTTCCCAAAAGTTATTCTCATTCGGGCTGGACTGGGCTGCTGTCTTGGCCCTGCCTGAATTGGTCCCATCTGTACTCCTAACGGAAATCGAGCCTGAATAGTGCAGAAAATACTTTCGACATGTGACCACGAGTGCCAGTAGGCCACAGGGTGTACGTGAATTTCGAAAAAGGCTAGGCCTTTTGCATACCACATTTTTTATCGTGGGATTTTCGATCAGACAAAGTTCTATTACAATCGACTACGTTACTTATTTTCGTTTATAAGTAACTCTCGAGATTACAAGTAGATCATGTACAGGAGCTATATTCAGCCTAATTTGTTTACGGCCCTTGATCACCTTTATCCATTACTATACGTAATGTATATATATAATTCGTTGATAAATATGGTATTTATAGAAGGAACCAGTATTCTGATGAGGATTGTGAATAGAAGAATTGTTTACTCGAATGGCGATTTGAGGTTCCCTTCCACGCCCTCATTCAGGCTGACCATTCGCTCGGATGTGTCATCTAAAGGCTTTAGTTAACGAGTTTTTATGAACATCTCCAATTCTGCTTCTGATATGTCTAGGATGCTGCCAAACGGCCAAGACTCAAAGATTAAACAAATAGAATTTTAGCTTAATTCCCACAGGGTACATTTCGGCTCCGAAAGACCGATACCAATTAACATGATTTACTGGAGAAGCAAGCACCGCCGCAAATGAAGACGTCTGATTATCGAATGCATCCACAAAGCATATTATTGTAACTGGATTGAGTGATTCGGGAAACTGTTGCCGCGTATGTGAGTCATTGACTTGCTGAAATGCAGGAGCAATCAAGTTATTTATTATTATTTATCTACTGAAGTAACTATTTCATTAGCTAATTTTTACTCTTTTCTATGACAAGCATACATTTCAAGGTAAACCAAGCCTATCAAAGAAGTGGGTTGACCTCGTTGTCGCAACTTGGTCTTGTGTTCAGGGAGACTATGTAGAACGCACCGA